AGAAACACCACCTCTGGAAAGAAAATTGCCCGTGGGTGCAGGATGCCAACTAGAGAAATCGGTAGGTTTCAAGATCGCAACCAAAGGTCCGCTGAATGGATGTCTAATGCCTGGAATCTTGGCTCAGAGGTGGCTCACTGCATGGCTCCTAACGTTACCTCTCACAGCGGAAACACTGCTGTGCCAACAGCTGGCTCGACCAAGTCAAAGGTAAGAAGGAGCATGTTTGAGTCCACATATGAGTGGAAGTTAACTGAACACTCTAAGATCAAAGCATGAGACAGAACAAAAAATATTTTCTCTGCAAGCCCAGTACCCTAAAGAAACAGCCCAGCCCCAAAGTAGTCTATCCTTGAATTAAACATATTAAATGCAAAATATTACTGGAAATACCAAATCAAACAAGCCAAGAGCACTCCTGCTAATGTGAGAGAAAATTCTCCAAATAGTACAGCTCTGTGTTGGCTGCTGCCATATGGGAAACCTTATGTAGTAAAGTATATGCTTGAAATTTTCAACTTACATTTAGTGGGGGAAACAATTTATTATACCAATTCATAAATGTATGACAGATGGGAATGCTTTTTTTCAGCTCTTGGCAAAGCCTCCTATTGGTTGAATAGTCTTTGGTTCTTAAACTGTGACCATCATCATTCACACCTATTTTCTGAAATTAAACAGACCAATACCATGATGAAATCACCTATAAATTTGGTTACCATAGAATGCCTTCCAATTCTACACCATAAATTATTCAGAATACCACTCTCCCTAGAATAATGAATGGGACCAAGACTGACCAAAAGGCACTCGGGAAAAAAACTACCTTTGAGATTCTTTAATCAATTTTGGAAAACCTTCCATATTTAAGTTTATTCTGGTAGCACCTTTACCAAGGAAACCATAAAAGATACCACTAGAAGTGCATTGCTTCATTCTGAAATATGTACTTGGGTCTTTTAAAAGCTCAGTTCCCCTAGAATATTAGTAAAATTATAATTTATGCATATAGATAGATAAGCAATGAATTTGTTTGTATTCTGAAAAAAATCAAAAAGTATCCTGGATGTATGTGACTTAGTGTTGACAAGTTCGTCGCCCACCAGTTATATTTAAAATAAGAAATTTACCAACTGGATAAAGAAGCCAAAGGATGGCCTGTCTCAGCATGTGGAAGGCACACTGGGGATGGGACCAGGAATGGAGGAGAAACACTAGATTTTTCTGCCTGTCATGGTAGCTACTTCAAAGTATTACCCACATCTATTTGAAAGTAGCAAGGTTGCATCCTCAGACTGCCCCAAAAAAGCTATGACTGATAGACTCTCAATGAAAACATCAGGATGGTGGCATGGTTAGTTTTAAATGTGAGCTTGTCAGAACCTAAATTTGATGTGGGATTCCCCTCTGTATGCTGTGAATACCATTGGTTAATAAAGAAACTGTCTTGAGCCTGTGATAGAGTAGAGTAGAGCTAGGCAGTGAAAACTAAACTGAATGCTGGAAGAAAGAAGGCCTTGAGTTGTGTGAGATCAGAAAAGGCTAGCAGAACATGAACCAACAAGCCAACTAAGACCAACACATTTGACTGTCTCTCTGTTTTAGACTGTGGACACGATGCCTTAAGTTCCGGCTCTGATTTCCCCTCAGTAACCAACTGTGACCTGGAACTGAAAGCTGAAATTCTCCCTTCGATCCCCCTAGGTTGTTTTAGGTCAAGGCGTTCTCCCACGGGACAGAAATGGAAGCACAGCTAATGAAGAGTTTAACAACAGCCCAGTGGCTGCAGCCCACCCAGTGTTTTCCAAGCTTAAAGAGAAGTCATTGCCCAACTACTTAATAGTCCAAGAAAACTTTTCCAGTGGAGAAAAGGTTGGGAGAGACCTCTGTACCACAGCGATCACTCAAACTGCCAAGGACATCAATGTCACAATATCTAGGCATATGGGGGAAGGGTCCGAACAACACATGGGAAGTGGTTTTAAGGATCAAGCCCATATTCAAAAATGTGTAATTGTACTGTACCCTGTTAGTGAGAACTAAGTCACCTTTTCATATCCTTATCATAAAGGAATTTAGAAAGTCAGACTCTTACAGGGAGAATAAAGAAAAGGAAATGTTTTATGAGAATCAGGTTTATGCCAATAAATATTACAAACACTTCATTGCTGATAAAATTAGCATCAGAGCTAGAGAGATGGCTCAGCCGGTAAGAACATTTGTTGCACTTGCTAAAGGACAGATGTTGGCTCTCTGCATGGTGGGTCACAGTCATCTTCCATTGCAGTTCCAGGGGATCCAATGCCCCTCTGACCTCTGTGGGCACCAGGGACAAATGCAGTGCACTGAACATTATTCAGACTGCCCAAAACATTTTTTTTTCTGAAACTAGATGGTATAGTTATTGTTTGTTAGAAAAAAATTACTGAATGTTTATTTGCAACTCAAAAATAACACTTTTTCTAGGCCTCCTTTTCCATTTTTCTTTATCTGTTTCTCATTCTTATGTTGAACCGATGTGGCAAACGGTCTGCTAATGACCAGCCTGGACTGTGATAAGTGCAGAGCTTGACCTTGTCGTGTTTTCTCACATTCAAAAAGAGATGAAATTCACGACAAAACATGACACGTAAACAGTAGTTACTTTTTAAATGGAACATGAGCTTAAATGGCCAATAAATATTTTATTACGTCACTCATAAAATCAACGTTCTCCAAACAGGTTAAACTCTGAGAAATATGACCAGAATTCAGATTGATGTCATCAATCTGTAAGAGATGACCTTTAAGCAAGAATACAAAATCTGTTTTCATCCTGCATCACTGAGAAAATATTGGAGAGATATGCTCTGAGATGAAAGAGTGATAGCCTCAGTAGTTGTCATGGAGACCATCAGGAGAACCCTTCTCCAGCAAATTCCTCTGACATCGCGATGCATCAGCCATTTTGTTCTTGTGACAAAAAGAAAAGGCTCCCAGATACGGGGTGTGTGAATGTTGTGGGAGTCAGTCAGTATGCATCCCCCAAAAAATAAAATACACATGTTGTAAGTACTGATGATTCTTTTTTAATTGTGAAAGATTGTTTTGAAAAGTGCCTTTTATTCCTTATCAGTATCCAAAGAGGGGGATAGGGTGGGAGAAAATACTTCCTTCAACTGGTCCAAGTTATGAATCAAAGTTAGAGAAACACCATCACAAACCTGCTGAAGTAGGACAACAGTGATTGAAAAGCACCGCTGGCAGAGCCAGCTTCCTCTTTTGGAGATAGGAGAAATGCTTCAGATAAGCAGCCTACAGGAAGGAAGGATTTATTTTGCCACATGATGTCAGAGATGTTACTTGGGCCACTTGTTTGGGGACTGTGACAAGGCAGAAGAATACAGTGGCTGCATGCAGGAGGTGGGACACTGCCTCTAGCTTGGTGGCCAGGAAGCAAAGACAGACAGAAAGAGGAACAGGCCTCAGTAAGGCACAAAGTCCCCACTTCCACCCACTAGACCCCACCTCCTAACTTCTTCCCACTTCTCAGAAGCGCCACCATCTGGAGACCACGGCCTTAAGACATAGGCTTTGGGAGCCTTTCAAAGTCTGCAAGGATACAGAGCAATCCCTCCGTGACCCAAGCCCTCACGATTTCTTCTTCTACGACAGTGATTATAAGGTCAGAAGATTTCATCAACATGGAAAACAGCAATCATGCAGGATGTGCTGGACAGAGTGTGGCTGCAGGCCACAAGCAGGACCGGTCACCCTTTTCTGTGTGAGATAATAAAACCCTCTAGGCACCAGGAGAGGCTCAGTGAAAGCTAAGCACTGCACAGCAATGTGCTTTACATACATGGGAAAGACAGTAAGATACCTTTGGTTGAGATCTTCTTTGGGTGCCCTCATCTGCCCCAAGGAAGCCTAAAAAGGTAATAACTAAGTAGGGCTGAGTCAGCACCTTTAGTGAAGTGCTTGTCATGCAAGCATGAGGACCTGAGTTCCATCTCCAAAAGCCAAGTTAAAAAGCCAGGTGTGAGGATATGTGCTCTAATCCCAGCCCTGGGGAGATGGAGCTGGGTGGATTGAATCCCTCGGACTCACTGTCCGCCAGCCTAACCTATTCAGCAAGCATGGGGCTAGGGAAAGAACCTGTCTCAATAAACAACATAGATGGTGTCAAAGACACACACCTGAGGTGGGTCTCGGCCTCCACATGCAACTGTATCCACATTCATGTGCACCTACCTGCACACACATGAACAGGTACACACTTAGAAATGAAGTAACATTAGGGGCCAGAGAGACGGACAAGTGCTTTTGTTCCTTCCTCTTCCAGAGGCCCTGGGATCAATGCCCAGCACAAATCAACATCGGTTGTTACGGTCACCATCATTCTGAGGTCTCAGTCTAAGCAGGGTACCTTAGATGAATGCGGGTTAGGAAAGGGGGCTCTGCTTGCCAATGTGACACCCCTTTAAGGAACTGGGAGCCGTTTAGGCAGAGCTGATAGAGAGATACCCAGAAAGAGGTGAGGCAGAGGGGAGTGATTCAGCACCCAGAGAGGAGGTGTCCAGGAGATTAGAGGTTTAAAACCACCTGGGCTGCCTGGCCTGTGGCTCTCCGTACTGGATTGACAGGACCAGAGGAATTTTGGTGGAGTAAGCCTGGATGAGTAATTCCGAGTTTCTACACATTGTTTATTCGAACCGGACTCAGCTCCCAAGAGAAGCAGAGAGAAGAAGTGGATCAAAAAAATTAGGAGGACCCTCGTCACGTTGGAAAAATCATCAGATTTACCCCGGAATTCCTGGAGTTTGGTACTCAGCGTCCCCACTTGGGAAACTCCGCTGCTATGGAAACGGAAGCGGTTGACCTGAGAGTCCGGAAGCAGACTGGGGGAAGGGAACCGGATCCGTTCAGGAGCTGGGCGTGGTCTCGGTTACCACAGCAACAGGGACGCTCAGGCCGGGCGTGAGCCCAATTTTGTGGCCAATGCACCTCCCATCCTTAGCATGGCACCTAAGAAGGAGAAAAGCACCGGGAACGCAATCTCTAAGATATGGGAACCCTCACTCATAGCTGCACACTTGAACCAGGTGAGTCTCCCGTTTCAAGTGAGGTAGCTAGTACACTCTCTGCTCAGTACTACTCTCCCAGGTCCTTACACACTCCAAATCACAAAGAATGTCCTGGGCAGGGGTGGAGGGCGCTTTACAAAGGGGTGAACAGGGAGTCTGGGTATATAGCTCAGTGGTAGGGCTGAGTGAGGTCCTGGATTCAATTCGCTGCACCAGAGGAAAACCCAAGACAGGATGGGAACCTCTGTCCTGCAATTTCAATAGGGGTTGCCAGATGCGGATGAGGGTGGAGGACCGGCAGTGCCAATGCCACTCCTAGGGCTCCTTTCCAACGAAGGCTCCCAGATGATGTGTCCAAGTTGTACTGGGGCTGTTGTGTTTGCGAACTGTTTCCTTCCTGTTTGGCTGATATCTTGACAAATCGTCTGTGGCCCTGCACACAGTCATATCTTAATAAACACTGAGTATAAACAGACAGGACCCAGGGTGACAATCTGTGAAAATAGAAAATGTTCCTATGTCATGGCTTGCCCTGCTCTGTTTTCTGTTGGCTTTGATAAATGAGCATGGCTCGACGTGACTTGGAGAGGAAAGTGTTTATTTCATCTTACTGTTATAGTTCATCACTGAGGGGAATCAGGGCAGGAACTGGAAGGAGACGCCCTGCAGGAATTCTGCTCTCGGACTCTGGCTCATGCTCAACTAACTTTCTTATACAACACGGGCCCACCTGCCTAGGGATGGTGCCTCGTACAATGGGCTCGGTCTTCCTACAGCAATCAGCAATCAAGACCATCTCACAGAAGCGTGGCCACAGGCCCCTCTGTTGTGGTCAGCCCCTCAGTTGAGACTCTCTCGGCTGACTCCAGGTTGTGTCGAGTTGACAGCTGAAACAAATTAGGACACACTCCATGCCACTGAACCAAACATTTTCATCTAGGGCTGAAGAGAAGGCTCAATGGTTAAGAGCACATGTTTTTTGCAGATGACCAGGGTTCGATTCTCAGAGCCCACAGGGTGGCTCACAACTATCTCTAACTACAGCTCCATTCTGGCCTCTTGGGGACCAGGCATGTACATTGTACATATACGTAAGTGTAGGCAAAACACTCGTACATATAAAATCCATATACACATATATCTTCATATATCTTGAAGCTATAGGAGATCAGAGGAACTAGCTGCTCCTTGCACATTGACACAAATGTTCCCAGCAATCTAAGACTCAAATCAGAGGGCCCAGCTGCATGCAAGCCCAGTTCCAAAGACCTCGACCACCTCCAGTGAGAATTCAAAGGCTTCTGACACCAGCAGGTAGAAATCCACATATAGGTTCTAAAGTTTCTAGGTTCAAATAGTCTTTTGAAACAAAGAAAGGCCATTTCTGGACATTCTAGTCTGCCATTGGGAACCTCTTGCAACAGTGGAGAGCAAGACTGGTTTCATTTTTCATTTTGCATGTGGGTATATGATTCACTAGAGAGTTTGTAGTTAAGAAAAGGAAAATGGACCTGCTGTCCTCCCGGGAAATGGTACCTATTTATCCTTATTTTCCAATAAGGTTGCTTCTTTCTCTATGGGAAGTAATGCTATCTGATATAAAAATTAGTCCTGGTGAGCCCCGTAAGAAGAGTCTGACACTCCCGTTTCTGCTGTGACTTCATGCATCATAACCCTGACTCTTGCGCATGGTTTCAAAAACACTAGCAATAAAGAGCATCACTCCATAATCCCCAGTTACATTCTCAGGTTCTCGGAGATGTTTGTCAAATCGCTCTACAAAAGTATCCTCTCTTTTGCTTTTGCAAGTCAAAACTAGCCAAAATAATTTTCTCGATTTTTTTTAGATGATATTGGCCAAGTTGAACTTAGAGTGAGCATGTCTGCCTAAATTACCACTGCTAAACCACAGGGTTGGTGAAGGCACTGACACTGTGTTTGTTAGTCCAGTCCTGCGGACATAAAGCTATGGTTTTCCTAATTGAACTAAAATCCTACAGGCACTGTTTTTTTCTTATGGCTTGGAAACATGAATAAAAATCAGCCTTCTTCATAGTATTCTAACAGTATAGGTTCAATAAAGCTTTTATACTAATAGATATAATTTCAAGTCAAAGTAATATATAGCTTTGGCTATGAAGTGAAGACTCTGAATTTGGCTGAAGAAGACAATGTTTATGTGAATTCTTTGTTGATAGTGTTTGGTAAGGAGTTTTACAAGTGGCATGTCTGAGAATATGCTGTTTTTTTAATCATGAAGAGTTTGTTATTCGTGCACAGGTATATGTGCTTGAGTATGCATGTGCAATCATGTGTACTGGGGTGGGACATAGGAGACAGCATGGTAATTCTCTAGTATTCCAAAAGATCGTTTTTCAGATGACTTCATTGAATCTAAATCAGTAGTTCTGATATTCTGAGAGGAGTCCGCACTGGAATTGAACAGAAGAACCAACTTCACCATGCGGTTCTGGTGATTTGACCTCATTTCCCTATTTTATCTATATCAATCAATTAATAGATAGATTGAGTGATTGATTGATTTGGGAGCTGCCCTCTCAAGCTGGAATTATTGTCACTTCTCAGGACATTTTAGTTGTTTCTAAATCATAAAAAGGTGGCAACAGTAGAAGGTACCCTCTTACTGAGCACTAAATGACTAGGGAGGTTAGGAAAATGGATGCAGGCTTGAGTGGCCAGGAAATACTCTGCATATGTCTTTAATTGACCCTGGAAAACTTGGTCATATTAGAGCAGTTAGGATGCAGGGGAAATCAGTTTGACTGAGGAAACCAACATCAACCTGGGATGCTTGATTTGAGAGAAAGGGCATGTAACTGGGTGTCCATTGCTCCTGACTTAATTCTGAAAGTCCAGCCACCACTGACTCTCTTTGCTGTACAAAGATAACACTTATTAGTACTTATGAAACATCACACCTCAAATTTTAAAAACACAAGGTTTAGGTGCATTGTCAGTGAGACTCTAAAATAACAGCGTAGGAATGTGTGGCATTAACACATTTACAATCTAGAATGGCTTTAGCGCCCCGAAGAAGCTTTAGCACACTCATTACCTGAGACTTCCCTTCCTATGGCTTCAGATATGCTCAGCCAACTGAGGTCTGAAAGTATTAAATGAAAATTGTGTTAAGCCACATAGCCTATCAAATCTTGTACCACATCGCCCTCCATCCCACCTGGGACATGAGTCGTCCTTACATTCAGTGTATCCAATGGACATATGCAGTTTGCCCACTGATCTCTTCCAAGCTGTCTGGTGTATTGAATAGATGGCTGTAATACCATACTTGTGCAGTGCACAAGGGTTCAGTTTCCACATTTCACCACCATTCCTCTCAACACTAGCTTCACGGTGCAAGGGTATCATGATGGTGATCAGAATGAGCCAAAAGAAGCTGAGAATGGCTTCCTTCAAGGGGGAAGGAAAAGGTTATTGATTGAATAAGGAAAGAGTAGAAGTAAGGGCTGACACTGAGTGCTGTAAGAACAGGTTTTCTATCAGTCAATGTATGGGAAAAGGAAAAGGAAGCCATGCTAGTTCTACTATTGAGACTGAAAAAAAGCTTTATTTCTCTGCTAAGTGCATAGCTGAGATGGGAAAGACAATTACGTTGTGGGATTGAACTCCATCTGCAGGGTCAGGCAGCTACTGGGGATCTTAGAATATATCCCTGGGTGATAGAGACTGTCATAGAAATGAAAATCTTGCCACACGACTATCAAGGCAGATGCCATTGGCCACAGTGGAGGAGGGGATGCTAAGGGAACCTGTTAGTACTCCTGAAGCAATGCTCACTTCCTTTCCCTTCCCTTCCTCGCTCCAGCTCTTGTTGTCTGTTTGCTGTTACTATGACAGAGCCTTTTGACTAGATAATTTACAAAGGACAGAGGTTTCTTTCTTATGTATCTGAAGGCCAGGAAGTGCTAAAACATGGTGGCAGCACCCAACAGAAGCCCTGGTTGTACCATAACATGGCAGAGGGTGTCACATAGGGAAGTGTGGGAAAGAATTGCTTTTATCAAAGATAACCTCTATAGCAATTAAGCTACTCCTGAGGGGAAAAAAGATTGAATAAGAGTGTTGCCCACATGTCCTGATTGCTTCTTTTGTTTGTTTGTTTTATTTGGGGGGTTGTTTTGTTTTGTTTTGTTTATTTTGGAGACAGAGTTTCTCTGTCCTGGAACTCACTCTGTAGACCAGGCTGGCCTCGAACTCACAGAGATCCACCTGCCTCTGCCTTCCAAGTGCTGGGATTAAATGCGTGCACTACCACCACCACCACCTCCTAAAGGTAACTAAACTTCATCATGAGCTTTGGAGGGGGAAATTCAAACCATTGTACCAGCCTCTGGAAGCTGCCATTTCTCTTTCTGTCAGAATTTGCCTGCTGAAAGGGTTTTATATAGGAATAACCAGCCAGCAGTTGCCTGTGTAACTGACTTGTCTGACTTAGCAGTCAGTGGTTTTGAACTATGGGTTAGAATTCCTTTCCTTTAGGGTACATAACATACTTTCTTGAACTACTACCTATCCTTTGCTGAACACTGGGTGGTATCTCTCCTTGCTTAGTGTGATGACTGCTATTAGTAATAAAAGAGTACAAAACACTGTGCTAGGGTCCCTGCCTTGAGTTCTTCGGAGCATCTGTGAATCTGGGGTAGCTGCATCATGTGGCAACGACTTTTTCACATTCCTACCAGATACACACAAAGGACTCAAGGCCTTCACGTCCTCACCAACATTTGCAGTGTTCTGGAGTTGATGTTGTTTTGAGTTTCTCTTTGATGTGGCTGGATTTTTCTTTGATATTGTTTGTAATAATCGTCCTAACTGGTGTGAAGTGATGTTTCCTTGTGTTTTTATTTTCAGTTCCCTAATAATTTATGAAATTAGCATGTCTTTTAAAGTCCTTCTCAATCACCCGTACTTCCTTGTTTGCCAGTTTATGAATTGAGCTGTTTGGTGATTTATTATCAAATTGCAAAAGATGTTTA